CCAGGTTCCCCAGCTTTTTTTTTTTTTATTCCCTTAAGCTTCAGTTTAGTAACATTTTGGCTGATCAATTGGATATAAAACCCTTTATTTTCTGTTTAAATTCCTATTCCAATAAATAAGGCTTTTAGGCTTAAGTCTACATAACTCTCTTTTGAAACTCTGAGCCAGAGAGTCAAGAATCTAAAAAACAAAACAAAACAAAAAAACATTTTCTACTTTGTGAATGTTTTCAATGTTGTGATCTCAAAAAGAACATGTCGAGGTTAGAACCAAAGAGATGGGAACAGATGTTGCAATTTCCATAAAAGAGCCTTCTTGGAAAACAGTAACTTTTTTTTACTTTTTTTTTTTTTTTTAACTTTAAAACCCCACAGACTTTACTTAACTAATAGTTTTCATTTAAACATCTTAGCAGTGAGACACAAGGGCATTGCAGCTTTATCCTCACCTAATTTCACATTCTGTACAAATTATTTTAAGATTCCTGAGATCCCTTCATACGATGCAGCCTATTCAACAAAGCATGAACTAACTTAAGTTGCTCTACATGTAAAGTCATATTTCTGTATTTTAGTACCCAGTCTGTCACCCAATGTTTGCATATTTGTATTGTACCATTCTACTCTTAGGCAGATTTAAGAGTTGTTATCCTAGATTCATAATAATTGCAAGAAAATCCAGTTCCATCTGTTTCTGCCAACATATGGAAATTAAATGAGAATATCAACAGAAAACGGCACTTGCTCAACATCAATTGCATGCCAGCTATTGTGTTTGTTGTAGAAACTTGTGGTGAAGCAGACAGAGTAGTCAGTAAACTGCCTGTCTGGTAAGAAATCTGGGCACTGATCTTGTTCATGCCAGTCTGTCAGTTGTCAGTTCTAGATTTCGGCTTAATACAGCCATTTCTGTCACTTACAGATGATGTGCTGCTGACTGAGGTCTGGTTCACCCTGCACTGTTTAATATATAGAAAAAATTTCACTGCACCAAAAGACAGATAGGGTTGTGTTGGAAAAAAAAAAAAAAAAAAAAAAAAAGAGCATCTAATCTGGAGAGGGATAAGAAGCATGCAAAACATAACTCTAGGGCTGGGAGGAAAATAAGATTACTGCTTTATTCACTGCTAAATTACAACATTTAAATACTTTTCATCCTTAATATAGTCATCACATCCCCTTGAGAAGGTACAATTGTGGCATTGTGTCACCAGGATTCAGTTTTGCAACAGGTTAGAAAAATGTCAACCATATTTAAAACACACATGGAAAGAAAGAAGTGAGTTGTCTCCCAAGTGCCGAAGCACTTCAAGCCTTACTCTGCACACACCTATGATAAACAAAAATTCTCCTATAAAAAAGATCCACCTGAGGATCAGCCCATTTCAGATGCTGCTTGCTTTGTGACCCCAGTTAGACCTTTTAGGGTTTTGCTTTGTAGAAATGTTAGAGATACTGTTTTTTCTTGCACACACTATTCTAAGTTTTTGAAATCCAGGTATTTCTGAATAGTAAGAGTGTGCTTAAGAAAAAGTGTGTGAAGGATGTGCAAAGACTGAAGGATTTCTCAGGCAAAGAGACTGGCTTTAGTTGTTACTCTGTAAGGGGGGGCTACCATCTCTCTAAGATATGGGCTGATCATGCACTCTTCATCTATAAAATAGACATGTAAAATGAGTTTACTTAGACCAGCATGAGCATCTGAGAGAGTATGAGTACCAACCTACTAAGTAGATCCACTGATTTACCTATTTCAGTGGAGTCCACATTTTTCCTTGCTGTTGCATAAGTACTAGGAGTTGTTTTTTTTTCCACGTGTGACATCTATAAGACCAGGTTGGGAAGGCATTGTCAGGTAAAACCTATAACTGACTTACTTAGGTGCCTTTGTTTTTCTAAGCCACCTACTGTTTCAGGAGAAGTCATGATAAAAATGTGAGACAAAACTGCCTAACCCATGAAAGACATATTTTTCTTTCTCCTTCTGTACATCTGTGTATCATCTCCCATCAGATAAGCATCAAAACTGTTAAATCTGTATAACCTGGTCCTCTGAGTAAGAAGAGTATATGTGTACACCACAGAAGACCAGTGGCTTGGGGCAGTGCCCCAGAAGGATGTCTGCTGAGCATGGTCTAACATGACTGCCAGTGCTGTCTCAGTGGAGCTCCATGCAGACAGTGACATGAAAACTCCCTAAGCTATTTCCATTTTCCTCCCCCACCTTCTTCCCTGCTCTTTTAATTGTGATAAAAAGCCCGCGGCTTTAAGAACACTTAACTGTAATACAATTTTCATAGCTCAAGTTACATGCTAAGTAAGTGTTTTATGTACCCTGTTTGTGAAAGCCCAGACAAGCTCTTTGTAGGAAGGTAAATAATACTTAAAGCCCTCATCACAATCATCATCCATCTCTGTTATGTGATTTAATTTAATACCGATTATCAAGAGTTTTATTTTTAACAATTCATGTGGTGCTCAGCTGCCAGAAATGTGTATTCATTTCTAGGGACTCAGGAATTAGGCAAATCTAACATACTGGAGTGCATATCATAGTATAAAGCTGCTTTTAAGATATTACTGCCTCCTCAAAGGAGAAAAAATTGTTGGAAGACATTATAATCAGGGAAAATTCCATATCATATTATCTGGATTTCATTTCCTCACAGGTTCTCACTCCATTTTCCTTCTCAAATGCAGGGGTAGTGGAAAGGAAGAATCTTAATGGATCTTTTTCTCAGAAATTTATTTTTCCTTTGATTATTTTAGGTTCAAGGTTTTACTGCTGTACAACCTTCAAGCCTTTTCCACATTTCCCCACAAGTGTTAGGTGCTCTGCAAAGGCCTTAGCAGAATTTTCCTGGCCCCAAAGATCTTACAGATTATAAAGATAAGCAGAATAAAATTTATCGAAAAATTGCAGGAGAAGAAAAACAATGTGTTCCAGGAGCTAACTGAGACAAGGTAATGAATTCAGAGCCTTGCAGTTGGTTTCTTCTTCCCCTACCTCCACCCCCAGCCCTTTTTTTCCTATCCTATCTAAAAGGGACAAATTACATCCACACCCTTCTATATTCCCCACAAAATTCAGCCCTTCTTCTTCCTTCATACCACTGTCAGACTTCACACTTCACATCCACTTCCTTCCCTGATCCTTCTAAAACTTCCCATTCCTTCCTTGTTTTTCTGATTTTGCATGAAGCAGTAAAACAAAAATGTTGCAGGACAAGCAGAAGATGCGGGTCTTCATGAGAGAGTGGAACGAGTGGTTTTGCTCTCATTTCTGCTGGACGCATCTCACATTTCACCCCAGAGCATCCATTAGCTGTAGCAGGGTAGTGCCGGTTTCCACCAGGGCAGCACCTGTCCTGTTACGTGTCTGCAGCCCTGGTGCGTGCCTGCAAGCAGCACACGCAAGTGGGGCAAGCAGCATGCGTGGCAGCTGTGACAAATAGCACATGACGCCCTGCAAGCTGTGCGTTTCCCACTCACTAGCCAAGGGAGGTTGTCTCTGCCTGACCGTGTTCTCAGCACAGTCAAATATCTGTGGGATTGGATGTGTGGGGAACTCCCCAAAAGGTTCTGGATGCATAAGTTTCCTGTTGTAAAAATGACCTATGCTAAAGCAAAGGAAAGATGTAAGAGCACAACCTTGTAAGTACAGGAGACTGAAAAATAAAACCAGGAATGCTTGTTTCTTTTCATCCTGGCAACTCCTTATTAACTTCATAACATTAAATGTTCTGTTGCATTGCCTTTTTAGATTTAGCCTGCGTGACCTAGCAGCTGTTTCCCTTGGCTCAGGGCATTTATGACTTTATTTTGGACAAATCTTTAACATTTTCATTTGATTTTTTCCAACTCTGCTTTGTGCCTCAAAATTTGTTTTAAATTTTACGGTCATTTTTTTCCCCCCTTTCTTACCCTTCTTACAGCTGTAGACTTTGGAACCCAGCAACTGTGGTGTTCCTCTTCTCAGCCAACAGCCTATTTTACAAGGTAAAGACAAAAGAAAGAAGGACATTTGGGAGGGAAAGAAAAGCAAGACAAGAAAGGAAGGAAGAAAGAAAGAAAGAAGCAGGAGAGGTCATTTTACTGGATCTACTCAGAACAAGCTAAAACCTAACACTATATAAATACTGAAGTACACAGTAGACTAAAAGTATTCAATAAACATTTACTGTGAATGGAGGCATTAGGAAAGGCTTAGGCCCTGACTGAATTCCCATGAAATTTATAAATATTTCTTTCATTTGTTCTCCATTTACAATTAGTTGCGGTCAAGCTGATCAAAGACAGAAGAGGCCTGTTGCATGTGAACCAGCATCCCTCACAATGACATTCACAAAGCATAATGAAATATGAAATATCAGGTTTCCACGGATGTATGAACTTGTAAAAAATCTGAAAGAATAGGAGGTTTTTCACACTGAGTAATGTGAAACATTTGGTGAGGATTGTAGGCCTCTGAAGAGGAAAACTGAGAGCCAAAATCCATCAGGCAATAAAACAGAAGCAGGCAAAAGTTAAAACAACAGCCATTCACTAAAATCTATTGATTTAGATATCATGATTGTCCTTGGTATAGGAGAGGTTGAATCTAGCTGGAGCTTCCTTTGAAATCATGATCAGGAATAAAACCCAGCACAGGTCTATGAGTGGGCTTGAATAACATTTATGTCAGGAATCTATTTTGTCTGCCCCCTTCCCTTAAAAAAAAAAAAAAAAAAAAAAAAAGGCTTTTCATAGCTTGTTCACACTGCTCCCAAGCTTTTCCAGCCAAACAGGTGTTGAGGTTAATTGGGTAAGTAGCCTGAAGCTTCCAGTTTTCAAACAAACTTTAAGTAAATAAATAACCCCAAGTGGACCCAGAAGGATAGCCTTGCACAAAGCCTCAAAGCTGTGTGTTACAGCACTCGAGGTTCCCTCTCTTATCTCTTTTGCAGACCCAGGCCTTTCAGAAAGTAGGGCCGTCAGCCTTTGTGGCTAAGGCAGGGTGCCTTAATTGCTTCCTATGCTTTTCGCAGCTGTCAGCCCCTAATGGGGTCGGGGTCGGCAGGGGAGGGGCACTCGAAGGCTTTGTGTCCTTTCACCACCTGAAGCACTCCTGGCTGCAGAGTAAGATTGTCCCACATTTGCCAGACCTCCAGGTCCCCAAAATGTGGCCTGTGCCTGCTCACCTTGTCCTGGTGCAGGAGAAAACTCTTTATCAATCTGCTAAAAAAGGTACAGGTGAGTGGAGACAGTGCCCTTAATGCATTCCCCCTCCCAGCCCTCTCTTTCCCCCCCATCCTCCCCGACCCAGGAGGCTCTAACTGCTTCTTGAGTTGTACAAAATTTGTTTATCATCTTAGCCAGCGCTGAACAACAGGGAAGAATGTAAAAATAGACTTTCACATTGTTTTGAGAAAGATTTGGGGGGATTAAAGGTTAACAGGAGCCTGCTAGCATAAACAGAGCAGACGCTTTGTGCTGTTTGTGGTATAAACCTCATTCTGTTCAGTCTGTACCAGAAAATGTCCGAAAAGGAGTAGTAGCTAAGGCAAGCAACAGGAGGCATAAACATGCTGCAGATGTCCTTTCCAAGGAAAGGCTTTCGTGGAAATGGTGTAAGGGGAATAGTTCCAAAAAGGGATTAGATGAGAAGACATATGAGAATATGTACTGTTTCCTTTCCTTCCTCAAACTCGCTGCAACCAAAAAATGCATGTATTCTCAGGTGTGCTGTAGAAGGGGGTCAGGGAACGGATGGTCTTGCTGTTCCTAGTGTTGCCAACCCTAAACACCAAGAAGGTGTGCATTGGGGCCCCAAAAGTTACGAGACCAGCTTACCAAAAATAATGTTTTTTGTGTATGTGTTTTGTTAAACTGACACAGTTGGGATTTTCGTGCTTTTCTCAATGCCCACAAGAGCTAGAAACTGACTCTTTTACAGGAAAACTGAGAGTCTGGAGTAATCACATATCTCCAAGGATCGGGGCTTTAAGAAAAGCATCCAGCTTTACATAACTTGCAGTAAAAAGCTTAGAGGCAGGAATACTGGACGGTGCCTTGGAAGGTTTGTGTCCAGTGATGTGCTCTGGACAGGTAGCTGCAATGCCAACTTCAACTCCTCACACAAAATGCAAAAATGTCACATAACCCCTCCTATCCTTTTGTACCCATCAGGTTTCTGAAATTTCCCACACTAGTAAAGTAAGTTACCTCATCAATCTGTGGCTCCATTTTCCAGCTACAGAAGCACTTTCGTTTATTTAATTATTTTAAATGATTCAGGCAATAAGTATACAGGTGGTTGTATACTTAGTACAGTGAGCAGGACAGTGAGTAGGAAAGGGTTTAGAGTTTAGAGAGATGGGTTCTAATTTGCAATGCTGTATAATAAAATAATGAGTCATAATTTCTTGGAGTAGTAGACACTAGCACTCTTAACAAGAAGTGATACTGAGAGATGAAGTCAGAGTGCTGATGTCTAAAAATTAGCAAAGTAGTATTCTGCAGTTGTAGAGAGGAATTCTTGCCAAATATCTCTGACTGGTCAGAGACCACGAATAGGGGAGAGCACAGAAGTGTAAGAATGGTTACTATTTTCAAAGACATTTCATGAAAATGAAAGCAATGGAGAAGGCAATAGGTCTTTATAATTTTTTCAGTGCAGTACATAAATTTGGAAAGACAAAGAAAAAGCAAGAGGCATAATTTCAAGATCAACTCATTTACCATCCTCCTCAGAGTGCCCATTATTTATAGTCCTCTGCTTGGTAAATCCCACACTAAAGTATAGTCTCTGTCAGAGGAGTAAACACTAACATTCAATGCATTTCTTCTTACAAAACCACTGTCCAAATACCCAACTTGTTCCTGCTCTACACCGGAATTTCTTGGATGTGATGCTTAGGGACGTAGTTTAGTGGGTAATGTTTGTGGTAGGGGGATGGTTGGACCAGATCATCTCAGAGGTCTTTTCCAACCTTAATGATTCTGTGATTACTGCTGTACCTTTCTGATGAAACTCAGTGTACTGGCTTTCTCATGACCACTCTTTCTTCCTCATAACAGATTCAATCTGCTCTCCTGCTAATCGCTGCAGTCTTCTGTCTTGGCTAGTCTTTTTCTTCCTTTATCAATGTCTTTATACATACTTGGGAACTATTTGAAGGCAAACCTAAAGGCACTTAAGAGATGCCTCAATTAGTCTGAATATCAACAGTGACTTCTCTAAATAGGAGGAGGGGGAAAATATTTCACACAGGCAGGAAGTATCTTTGGTACACTGCCGGTCTCTCCCTTAAGTACAATTTGTACTGTGAGACGTGTTGCCTAGATGTTGACTTCTCTCTTTTCTTCTTCCTTCTCCTTGCCACTTCAACATCAATGAAGGTATAAAAGGCACAACTGACGTTTTTTAGAGCTGGAACACCTTGACCAGATTTACTGAGTATTTTAAGGGCCTATCCACTCGAGTCTGAAAATAAGAAGAGTATTTTTTTTGTGCAAGCAGGTGAAGAATTCTCTTCACCGAAATGTAGCTTACATTTTCTAGTCTCCAGGCTTGATGTTTTCTTCTTGTGCTCTCCAAAAAGGCAAGCACAAACATGTGTACAGGAGTTCACCATCCCTAAGGACCATTCATGAAAGAGACCCTTGTCTCCAGATTAACACTAAAAAAAATCAGAAGCCAAAGCAGGCACACATTCCTCAGCACAGATGCACCTCTTTAGGGTTTCTTTCATACTGGCCAGAAGAATGCACTGCAGAAGAGGCTTCTGGGATAAATGCCCTGTACCTTCCTCAGGGGTGGATCTCAGGATTTTATTTTCATTTATTTTTCTTGGAGGGAAAGATGAGAGAAGCAAAGTAGTGTCCAGTGAAATGCTGTCTCTGCCATAAAACTGAAAGCAATTTACATTAAAAAAAAAAAATCTAATTGAGATGATCATTAAACAATCTTGCAGTGGCTGTGGAAATATGTGGTTTAAGCTTCTACTCATTTTGGTTTGGTCCAGCTAACTGCTCAGCTAAGAATTTCCAGAAGAGCCTAACCTTAACAAGATATGTTGTGGACTGTATCAGAATACTGTACTTTGTGTTCTTCCAAAAATCAGAGTTCCCATTTTTATTGGCGTGCATGTTTCAACATTTGTTTTTGCTCAAGTCCACTATAAAAGCATATACATATATATATATATACTTCAGAACTTTTTATGGCAAGATAATACACACAGCACTTCATGTAAGCCTGCCTTATCATGAGTCATAAAGGTCAATGTTCAAGAGACAATCAAGAGGTGGTAATTTTGCTCTCATCCTCTTCACACATTGCTCCTGTCAGCAGGGGAAGGCTGCAGAGATGTGTTGAACTCAGTTAATGAGCACAGCTGAGCCTCTTTGGTCACAGATGAACAGCAGCCACAGCATGGGCATGTCTCCCAGGCACAACACAAGCACAGTAGCATTCCTGACCACTCCCAGGTTAAAAGATTGTGGTGGTTCGCCTTCGTGCAGTATAGGTCCTGTGCAGAACATCAATGGCTGACATGAAGATATATTTTAAACTCATGGGGAGATAAAGAGAGAGTTAGACAGGGAGACAGGGAGAGAGGAAGGGGGATAGAGAGAGAAAAGTGAGGGCATTCAGAAAGGTGACCATCTTGAAAGTAAGATGCACTTTTGCATTTGCATTTTCAGAGGAGTCCCTGTCTAAGGTATGTTGTGCTCTGTACATTCATAGCCTGTGGTCTTTGGATGCCCCTTATTTGTCATGGATAGTGAAAAGGGTTTGGATACCCTTTTTCTTTCCCCAGGAGCTTGCCAGGAAGGTACAAGGTTTGCAGGCTGTCTCATTGATGAAACACTCTCCCACACCCACATTTTTAGATGTGGATTACAAATTTAATTTCATTTTTTAAATCACACTCCTATAAGGAGCCTCATGATACTCCCTTTCGTTCATATGGTCTTAACTTGGTCTGTAAGGTTGTTTTACTGTTTAATTCAGAATGTGAAAAGATACAGAAGTTAATTCCATGTAAGGTGTTATGTTCTCACTTCCCAGTGCATCTTTCACTCCATTGACTCCTGTGAGACCCAGAGCTATCTGCCATGTTTCCGCACCACAGACTGTTATGCAATGTGGTTATGCCCTAGGTTTGTTGCTTTCAAGTCTGTTGTTTCCCAGACTACTTGATGAAAGCAAACTTATATATTCAAAAGAGAAGAGTATATAAATGTATCTGTGCCTTTAGTGAAAAATATATTTGGGGATCCACAAAGCCAGTTAGTTCTTTTACCCAGGAAGAACATCCCAAAGCATTTTGTCAGCACAGTACAAGCACTAGCAGTAGTAACAATAATGTCTTTATTTCCTTCTGCAATTCACAGTGCAGCAATTTGATTCTATTTAACATGTTCTACTATTTATGAAGAATGTCATTAAGATCCCTATTTTTTATTCCTCACTCTGAATACTGTAGGACAAAAATTATTTTCTAAATTCTGCTTGTCTATTGATAGTGCCTGTTGGAAATATGCATCAGCTTATAGGAGATCTGGGATTAAACTTGACAGGAACACTTTTCCCTTTATGATGAGATCAGAACAGATTCCTGAACAAATCATTATGGCTCCGTTTCCAGAAAACATTACAGCAAAGCTTTGTTCATGCTACTATCATAAAGGCTTCCACACGTATTTCTATTACAATCTTTATTTTCAGTGGGTTTTAACTCAGCCAGAACAATTCACTATGGGCTGAAAGTTGTCATTTCATGGTGTTCACACCATGAAGGAATTTGTTTCACCATAAACTCTGAAAAATAATAGCACGAGCTATTTTGGACCTGGAAAGATGCACAAGCTAGTAGAAGGCAGTGGCTCCCCACAAACCTATCATGTAATCTACTGAAAACAAAATCAAAGGAACGCTTTCTTTGCTTTTAAGCAATGATCAGGCATGAGGAAAGATAGGAAGGAAATATCAGCTTTCCAACTGACTGTTGTATAGTAAGATCTCCACCCCTCAAGCAGGTCAAAATGGAAGAAGTCTGCATAGTGGATTTCAGGATTATCTCTGTATCTGTGAATTTGCAGTGGGCCATGCTACCCCAAAAATGGCAAAGCGTAATGTGCAAGGCCAAGTTCTTGGGTGGTGTGAATTGTTAGTTTTAAATTGGTTTTACAAACCAGCTTCAAAGGAGCTCAAGCAGCACCAGATCACTTGAGGGGTCTAGTCCCTAAAAGAATAGGACCTTCATTTGGTGCCTTGCAGACACAGTTGTAGTACTGGGGAACGCTGAAGGACTGCTTGACTGTATATCTGAGCCCATGTTGCCTGCAGACTTTGACTTATATTAATCAATGGTGTATTCTTACTTTCCTATATCTGCTTCCCTTACTACTATGCGTCGTAGTTTGTCTTGCATCATTCGTGAAGAAGAATCTTACTTTCTCTGTCCATTTGTACAGCATCTAGCACTATGCCATGTCAGTTTTACATGAGTCCTCTAGACTTCGCTGTGATACAGGTAATAATAGTAGTAAAGAATAAAAATGGGCTCCGTAGCTTCTCTCATTCACTTCCATGAGAAAAATCTCATCCCTCAAGCCTGGAGTTCTGCCCATGATAAATCCACAAGGTATGAGTTTGAATCCAAACTTTCCATACTGCAGCTCACAAGCTTGGCTCCAGGGTTTTGGTTATGGCCCATTGTTATTACTAAAACATTTCTCTGCCTTCCTCTGAAACATCCTCTCTACACCAAACAAGATTTCCTGGGATAGTGGGTATAATTCACATTATTGCACATGCTTTTTCTGCTTTAATTTTATCTCTGAAAGATATTAAATCTACATTTATTAAATGAAGTTACTTTTCCAGCCTGCAGGCACAAGCCCAGTATCTTGAAAGATGTAACAATGAGGTTTATGATTAAAACCTTTTTTGGAGAACATGAACAAATGATAACCAGTTGTGATAGTTTTCCACATTTTTATAATATCTAAAAATATGTTCAAATATCCAGAAATGATCTTGTGATTTGATTTATTCACAAGTCCCCTGAAGTGTTTAATAAGTACAATATGGTACAACTAAAATCATGCTTATTACTGCTATTAGCTTGGTAATTCTCCAAGATGAAATCATACTTTTCAGGTTATAAATATACATTTTTATTGTTGATTTTATGCTGCATTTTGAAATATTGCTTCTCTGCTTTCATATTTTCAGTGCTGTATTACAGTACTATAAATCAGCCCAGCAGTAAAGGAATTCTAATTGATATCAGGTGATTTTTTTAAAAAACAGGGAAAAAGTTTAACATATATCCTTTTGAATGAAGATAAATTCTCCTGAAGCTCTTAAAAAAAAAAAAATCAGATGTGTCCAAAATATATCTGATTTATCTTTTTGAAAGATTAATCAGATGAAAGTATGCACAGTACACATCAAAGTATATGTGTGAGCTTGAAACCGCTATAAAGGACACTTCTAGATGTCTAAGTACAGAGAAACATTTCCCTGATATTTTTTTTTTCTGTTTTGTATATACTATTCCAGTTTTTCCATCTCACTAACTACGTAGGCTCAAGCTTCTGTTATACCTCCAGCTTATCCGTGTATTTTTTATCATTTAAACAAAATCCAACTGTATTACAGAAATATATTCCTAATGTCTGAACACCTCTATAAAGCCAATTTGCTTCTTACACAATTGATTCCGTCTGTGGTAGACCTGCCCAGAAATGGTTCCTATGTCTATCAGTACCATGTCCAATGCAGTAGTTAGTTGACAATCAACTAAGAATTGTGTGCACAAGATTCTGGGATTTTTCATGACAGCTAGTGCCCTGTGGGTGAGAAAAACATTAGTAAATGAATATGTTGTGGGGTAAAAGGTACCAAAACCACACTATCTGTGGTATATTTCAAAACAACATTCTGGACTTCCCTTTTCCCATAATGAATCCTTAGAAAAAATTGGTTACCTGGGGGGGGGGTGGGGGGACGGAAAAGTGATTAATACAGATTTGATTCTTATGTGATGACATGATAGGGATCAAGAAGAGAAGTTGGGAAAGGAAAGTCATGAGGTGGAGTTAGAGAGTATGAACAGAGTCCATGCTATAATTCATGGGAGCCTGCCCTGGAGGCTTGCACTGGCTCTCCCATCAGTACTTCTGTAGTCCTTCCAAAAGGTGAAGCACATCAAGGATTTTGGAGCACCTAGAGAGCATACTTACAGGTTTCTGCAGAATCTCATTTGTTTTGATCTGAGCTTTTTGGGCAATGTCGCATAACCTCTTAACCTCTCAAAAGCTCCTGTCATTTTCCCTTTCCAGGCCACAAAACAGAAATCTCACAGTGCATCACCTGATGTATCCAAGGGAAAAAATATTCAAAATAATTATACCTCCTACTTTCTCAGATGTCCTTGAACTGGGTTAGGTATGATCTTCAGGTGAACTGCAACTGTGAGGCAAAGCCACAGCTTTAATGGAATAAATTAATCAATACTGTATGCTCTACGGTGTTACTTTTTTTTTTTTTTTTTTTTTAAAAAAAGCCTTTTTTATTATTTTTACAAGTGGAATGAATTGCTCTATGCAGACTTGAATCTCCTACACAACAGGAAGTTGACAGAGGAGCTTTGTCATGAAGGCCAGAAGTAAAATTAAAAATGAAACTGATCCAAATAAAAATCGTGTTAAGCAGATATTCAGCAGAAAGGCATCTCAGGAAAGATGAAACAAGCAAAAAAAAACAATAAAAAAAAATAATAATAAATATATATATATATATATATATATATATATATATACATACACCTTGGACAGCTGCTTAAGGTCAGATGAAAACCAGATGGATGAAATCAGGAGGCAAAAAAGGCTGAACAGGGACATATTTGGAAAGATTAAAGGTAGCATGAAAAGTCACCTTTCATTGGCATACTGAAAGTCTACACCAGTGAAGTGACAAAATATGGGTACATATAAGATATAATATGGGTTGGAGATACAATCTTATGCCAACAGAATGAAAAGTATAAATTTTCAGCCACTGAGCCTCTGTTTCCCGAAGGAGAGTGGAGACAACACTTTGGGATTTCTCTCTGGTGAACACAAAGGTGTGCCTGGAGTAGAAAATCAAGTGATAGTGTGAGAGCTCATGGTTGTTTGATACCCAGACAGTTCACTGATGATTCATACATGTATAGTTTTGAATTTTTAGGAATGTATGTAACTTACACGCTGCATGTGTGGGACAGACTGGTGTTGTCTCATCCACTGTAAGGTGTCTGGTGTAAGCTAGTATAAAAAGCCTATCTTAGGGTGCAATGAAAAATCTTCTCTTGTTTTCTATACAGTGTAAAATGGAATGGGTTGCCACTTTAGATGTCTAACTTGTATATGACTGATAGTATGTGATGTGTATCTCTGTTTCCACGGTTGACACTAACCTTTGAGAAAAGTGAACATGGAAATCATAATGATATTCACATAAAATATTCAGGGAACCATGATGAGTAACTACTCTGTCTTTGTTTCAGGAACCTTTTCAACACTTAGAAACTAGACAAGAGCTGAAGAAAACACACATAATCACAATAAGAGAGACTGAATATGCCAGCTTCTTAAAAACTGCAAACCAGACCAAGAGAAGTAATATGGTAATTAAAGCAATGACTGCAAGATGACAACTCATACAACTGGAGCTAGGTGTGGAAAAGGGCCACATGGGTCCCTCCGGTCCCTCCAAGGACTGTTGAAGACAGAATGGGACAAGAAGAGAGGCGATGGTCTCCTTGCTTCCCCTTGAGACCCAGTCCCACACGTTCAGGTGGTCCTGCAGTGGCAGTTGGTGGCAGCAGGAGATGAAGCCTGGGGAGCAAGGCGTGAAGCCAGCCCTTTGACAGCAGCAGGCAGGAGCAGTTGTCTCCTCTCTCAAAGTCTAGTTTTTCAAGCACCAACTTTTGTAATGTAGCAGTTTTGACCTGAAAAACACATGATCTCTTTTGTTGTGGTTTTGTGTGTGTGTTTTGTGTTTTTTTCTTTTTTCTCTCTCTCTTTTTTTTTTTTTTTCCTCTTCTGGAATTACAAATGTGGGACATGAATTGCAATAAGTGACCAGGCAAGCAGAGGAGGGGCTTAGCCATACCTCACCTGGAATCCACTCCAATGCCCACTGATGAGAGTAATCTCAATGGGCAGGCTCTTGACAGGACATAATTGCACTCCCAGCAGAGCTGGGCAGTCACAGAGCATCTCCACTTGAGGCCATTTACTAGCTATTGTGAGAGTATTTACTTATTTTGAATGTTTATAAACTCTTGTTGGAACACAAGTCCTATATGGATTCATCTAAATCCTGATCTTTTTGATCTGCAAAACCTTCAGTAATTGAAAAAAATCCATTTCATCTCTTGCTTCAGAACATCATGTATAGTTTATAACCTAGGAACCCATGGCTCAGATTTAATGGTAATCATATAACATCTGTTTAATTTTAAAATTTATATGGAGGCTTTTTTGGAAATCCCTTGGAGTTTTTTGACTTTCTGTCTTCTCTATGCACACAGAGGATGTAGAAAATTAATTTCCTGTGTAAAAATACAAGATGACAGAAGGTCCAAGGTTAAACCTATTTACAAAGAAAATCACTGCCAGTGTTTAGAAAATTCTGCTTTTATTTGAAATATTTGGAGGTGTACCTGGCTTCCCATGTCCTCATGGTATTTAAGCATATAAGGCTTTCTGTCCAATAAACCATAGTGAAAAACCTCCTCTGTACTGATTTTTCCCTGATGAATTGTGAACTGTCTATTCATATGGTGATCCATTTATTTTAATAAAGAAGACAAACCTGTAAGAGTTCCTTGTTTTCCCACCCCTCTGGCCTCTTGTGAAAAGACTTAGCCTGCTGCAGAGGCCAACATTCAGTTTACAGATGAAACCAGATGCCACTGGCTGACATCTACTTGGTTACTTTATGGCAGAGTTAGTTTACAACAGGGTAGGAATGTTGCTATCCTGTCCTTATCCAAGAAGAAAGGTGAGGAAATGCAAAGTCCAGACATGGCAGGGAACAGAGCAAGGGTCTCAGTGCCAAGGACAGCACTGAACTTCTTTTCTTCTATTCCTAGTGATGCACCGAAATAAATTAGTACTGAAATATTTGATACTCTTGAAGAGGGAACACTTTCATTCTTCATCTCAACAAAGGGAAGAAAGGCTGAGCAGCAATCCCTATTACTAACAGAATGATCTGGAAAGTGGTGAGCTGGAACAACACTTTCGTGCATGTCTCATCTTTGCTGAATAAGGAGGGAGATAGATGGGAAATGGTATCCAGGTGTCTGAGAGGCCCTGAGAGTGGTGATGCCAGGGCTCCTCTGACCACAGGCTGAGACTTCCACACCATGTTATCCTCCTTCAGTTGGCAGGCTTGAGGATCTAAAACCCTTTGCACCAACCCATGAGGGCAAGAACCTACTGGGACACAAATCCAACAGGAACACCTGGGACTTAGACCACCAGTGCCAGGTGAGAGAGCCTGGAGGAGCTGGGCTGTGTATCCACAGAGCAGATGTCAAGCCAAGAAGCAGCAGCAAATATTACTGCCCTGTTTATAGCAGGTTATTTCTGTGCTCCAGGACACCTCAGGAACCTCTGGAATCAACTGGTTCTTTTGATCCTGAATATTTTCTTTTATTTTCTTCCCAAGGGAAATTTCAAAGCAGCAAGTTTTCACCTTAATTCAGAATAGAAGGACCTTCAGAAGATCTGTATTTCCTATAGAACTGATTCAAAGAGCTCTATTAGAAGTAACTTTACTGCTCATGTTGAAATTTGACTTGCTGAAATCTGCAAGTAACCCAGACAGTGCTTTACTGAAGCATGGCATTCAGGTATAGCTTTGGTCCTTTAGTGATGCTTTGTGAATGTCAAGGCTCCAGTCCTGTCATTTCTTATTACTGATTTTTGCTCCAACCTTATTTTTTTGGCTGAGTTTTAAGTAACCTACACTTTCATCCCAGCCTTTGGCAGTTAGACTGTTGTTTCTATCTGAGGCTCACCCAGCAACTTCTGAGTGTGCTGCAGAACCAGTAAGCGACCAAAGCAGTAACACCCTGGAATCAAATACCCCTGCAGTAAAACCAGTGAAGTTTCATTGCTCCCAATAATTATGCACAGAAGTACATATAAAGAGGTAAATAATTATGCATAGAGGTACATGACTGTGCTGATGAAGACCAAGACTGAATACAATTCAATTCATATGGTCATCATTGTGCTGACCAGGTGTTAAAAATAAATAAATAAATAAATAAATAAATAAAATTTGTTTTTGTCAATGAAAAGAGTTCATACAACTTAATATGAGTAGAGTCGAGCTAAAAGGTGCTAATTTTGCACTCCTTTTTTTTCTGAGTTGAACCACATCTCAACATCAACTTATTCTAAATTGGTATTTGAGTGGTCTTCCTTTTTATTTGCAATGCCAGCCTTTGGGGAACATCTAAAGATCAAATAAAGAAGCCTGAAGCATTAGACATTCTACATAATGCAAGCTAACTCTCCAGGAACTACAGAAATGTGCTATGCCAAGGCAAGCTGTCAAAAGGCGTGATTTGCTACTTTTCACCACACAATTTCCCCCTTTCTTATGACTTCTGATAACATGCTTAACAGTTTAGGTTATTCCTAATAGCAGTAGTACTAATAGCATCTCAGCCTCCACTATGGTCTGAAAAGCAGAAGCAGTAACAAGCTTCACAAAGCAAAAGATATTTGGATTACCCAAATCTTTGATACAGGATGGCTCATCCACATGCAGGGACAAGAAAAGTAAAATACTGGAAAAGGTTTTGCTGTGACAGGGGGAAAAAAAAAAAAAAAGGAAGTCAGTGAAGCTTAAGCTGAGTAATGAGGGAAACCTGAGAAGACTAATAGTACACTATCCAGTAACAGAAGGATGGGGCAGACAAGTTCAATATTTGTATTTAGAAACTTTTCTCCACATTCCATTAGCACTTTTTATCAGCCTGAAGAATCTCACTGTATCTGTCTAAAACTGCTCAGTGAAACAGCTTCTTACTTTTCTGAAAAATGCACTGGCAGCCATTGAGCAGAACAACAGGCCACCTGCTACATGAAGCATTATAACTTGTGGGTTTGTGATGTGTCATGTGCAGTTTTAAAGATATATTAGGATCTGCCATGAATAGATTGAAAGTAAAGCTAAAGTTTCCTTCATTGTTGCTTTAGTACAGAAAATTAAAGGAAAACATTGAAGTATTGTATGAGGTTTCTCATCTGGATATTATTAGTTCTTTTTTTTTTATTTTTTTTTTTTAATCGTGTACAGTACTATACAGATTCGTGATTGCTACTGTTTTTCTTATAGTAGACCTTGTATTAAGTATAAAGTACATTGCAATTTATTTTGTCTATATTACCTATCAAACCACTAGAAAACACTTTCCCAGATTAATTTAGCATGTAGTTGGGATGGCAGTAAAATAAAACAATAATGTGCTGTTTTATGTGTGTGGGGAAGCTTTAGGTTATATACTGTATTATATTAAGAAGCTGTAATAGGTAGGAAATCTAACAACAACCTAGACAAAGAGAAAAGCAAAACTGCACTTGAGGCTTATGCTTAAAATGAACTACAAAAAAATCTGAAAATAAAATCTATTCTGAGGCTTCCCCAAGGAGCTAGTGATAAAATACTGATAAAAGAAAGAGTCTTGGTAGCAGCTTATGGAGACTTGGACCTGTTAAAAAGCAAGAAAAATGTGGGCTGCAGTTCTGTGTTTTTCTGCATGTTGTTGATACCACAAGAACCACAATACAGCTCAATAAAACATCACTGATTTTACTTCCTTTTCTCATTTCCATGTGTGTTCATGTCCTACTTCTATTGAACAAATGTCTGGTCCAATAAAGTTTTCCAGTGTCTAAAAGCCTGCCTAGGTGCTCCTAAGTTTCCAGAGGGCTGCTCCCAACCTGCACCTGGAGCAGAAGACTATGTGCTGTTCTACTTCCTCACAGCTAAGCTAAAGTGTCTCAAAGTTTAGAGAAGAATGGAAAAGCTTCACAAGTATACACCATGGAGACAAAACATTTTTGATTCAAAACTCTCAGTAGTCATAGCACAAGGGAACGCTGATCAGGAAATTTATTTTTTTCAGTTTACTGGGCCTCTTTAAAAGAAGTATATCATATTCACTGCTGAGTTTCATATTTTGCAATCTGCACAAATCACATGATGTGCAGCTTCTACTATGCCACTTGTTGTGAGGGTTCATTGTAGACCCTCTAATGAGCCTGCCATACTCCTTCAGCATGCACAGCACTGTCTTCTCAATCATGCTTTTCAAGAGATTAAGACTCAGTGATGCAATACAGCCCATGACACAAAGCCTCTTTTCAAACATAAAAGAGCCAATTGTTTTTACAACCTCCAAGCATGCACAATCTTTGCTTCACATGTCCATGCAATAAGTGGCCTAAAAGTTTCATATCCTCCTTGCAATATGGAACTTGACCCTTGAAAATCCCTCATGACAATTCAACTAGTAGAACGGAAATCTTTTTCCAATACCCTAAGGATGCTGGAAAAATATTTGTACTATTTCCATTTATACGCACTCCATTACACTGTCTTCCTTGCATATTACACAAACTAACAACATTTTTGAAGCTATGTATCCTCCTGTCTTCTCTATCCATAAATTATCTCAGCTGCCTCCAGAATCCCGAGATAAATTCTTTACTCCCTCTGACAGGAATTACATTTGAGAGTATAGCTAAAACCCCTCTCTCCATAGGCCAGCAGTCATTGCATGAACACAACTGTCCAGATTTGGCAGGGACAAAGAAACTGACTTTCACAGGCACAAGGAAGTGCTCAAAGCTTTCTGCATCCGTTGACTCCAGGATACACGTTTTACCACATGGGTCTGATAGCTGGTGAAGGATCAGGGCATGAGATTTGGCCTGACAGTGGAGGTACCTCCGTGCAGTTTCCAGCCCTGCCACAGGGATCTTGGTCAATTCAGAACAGGCATGTAAAGTGTGTTTGAGATTGAGCACCAAGCATCTCAATGCTCCCTTGGTAGTCTGTGGAAAAAGAGGCACCTCTACAGGGCATTTTACCCCTAGTGCTTTCAGTGTCTGTTTTGGAAAGGAGAGAATCACCCCAGGGTGCCAGCCTTACACCAGTGGTGGAGGCAGATGCCTTGGCAAGGACCAGCCAAGTTCACCCCTTCCCATACCTGCTGTCCCCACATGCAGCAAGGAGACAAATTCACCCCGCACCCCTAGCTTATGCAAGAGCTGCAGAAGTCCCAGCCCTTGTGGCAGTAAGTCCATCCCTGTCTGTGACCATTTACAGCCCCTTGGTACCACTGCATCAGTGGGCAAAGAAACATCACTATCCAGGGTGCCCAGCCTGAAAACAAACAAACAAAAATCTCTGTAAACTTCATTTCCAAACACCGCTAATAAGAAGTGAGTACAAAGAATTACAAAGAATTTCAACAAAAAATGTCAACAAAAGTGTAAATGTAATGATGCTATTTTATTAAAAAAAAAAAAAAAAAAAAAAAAAAAAAGAGCTTAGAAAAGAAATCTGAGTGGAGAAACTGCCACATTTTCCTTATAGATAAAAAATAAAAATAATGTAGCATTTTTTGCAATACTTTGATACACCTGTTTTGAAAACAATATCTCGTAGTAATATTTTGCTCTGTTCATTTGTTACGAAATTGACA